GATGAATCTCGTTTATCTTTTCAAAGAACCAGCTTTTGGTTTCATTGATCTTTTGTATTGTTTTTTTTAAGTCTCTTTGTCATTTATTTCTGCTCTGATCTTTTTTATTTTCTTCCTTCTACCAGCTCTGGGTTCTTTTTGTTCTCTTTCTAGTTCTTTTTTTTTTTTTTATCCTCACCCGAGGATATTTTTCCATTTTTTGCACAGACAGAGTGGGAGGGAGAGAGAGAGAGAGAAACATCGACGCGAAGGGACACACCGAGTGGCCGCCACCCGCACAACCAACCAGGGCCGGGGACAAACTGCAACCGAAGTACGTGCCCTTAGCGGGAACCGAACCCGGGTCTCTCCGGACCGCAGGCCGATGCTCTAACCGCTGAGCCAAACCGGCCAGGGCTCTTTCTAGTTCTTTAAGTTGTATGGTTAGATAGTTTATTAGAAACTTTTCTTGTTTTTTGAAGTAGGTCTATATTGTTCTGAACTTCCCTCTCAGGACTGCTTTCTCTGTGTTTCATAGATTTTGGGTTGTTGTGTGTTCGTTTTCATTAGTTTCCAGGAAGTTTTTTTTAAAATACGTTTTTATTGGTTTTTTTAGAGAGAGAGAGAAGGAGAGAGAGAGAGAATCGATGTGAGAGAGAAACATATATTGGCCACCTCCTGCCCTTCCCCCACTGGGTATTGAGCCCACAACCCGGGCATGTGCCGCTACTGGGAATTGAACTGGACCTCTCAGTCCATGGGACGATGCTCAATCCACTGAGCCACACCAGCTGGGCAGTTTCCAAGAACTTTTTTATTTCTTTCTTGATTTCCTTGGCAACCATTCATTGTTTAATTACATGCTATTCAGCCTCCATGTGTTTCAATGTTTTTGAATGTTTTTATTGCCATTAATTTCTAGTTTCATGCCATTGTAATCCAAGAAGATGCTCGATATGATTTCAGTCTCCTTGATCTAGTAGAGACTTAGTTTGTGTCCTAACATGTGGTCTGTCTTTGATAATGTCCCACATTTTGTTCTCTCCTATTTTTAATTTTTTTCTATTTGCTGCTCTGGTTGGGTGTTTTTTTCTACCTTGTCTTCTAACTTGCTGATTCAGTCTTCAGCTTCTTGTAATCTACTGTTAAATCCTTCCATGGTGTTTTTTATATCAGTTATCTCATCCTTCACTTCCACTTGATCTTTATTCATAGCTTCTACCTCTTTTTTTTATGTTGGTATTATTCTCATTAAGTTGCTTGTAATTCTTACTAAGTTGTTTGAGCACCCTTAAAACCATTGCTTTGAATTCTTTATCTGAGAAACTGTTTGCCTCCATTTCTTATAGTTTCTGTTCTGGAGATTCCTCCTTTTCTTTCATTTGGGGATTGTTTCTTTGTCTCGCCATTTTAGTAGTCTGGTCGTTCAGGGCCAGGTGAGGCATATTGGTACTCATAGGACGGTTAGTGTGTAGCAGATAAGACTGCTATGCCTCTCAGTCTTTGTGTGGTGGTCTTCCTGTGGGACCCAGTACAGTAGTCTTCTTGATCTTCCGAGTTGTAGGAATTACCCTTGTGTGGGTTATGTGTGCTTTCCTTTTGAATCGGAGTCTTGATTGCTATTGTCCAGTTGTGCGTAGGCTTAGCCCTCAGGGTTGTTAATTGTGAGTCTCAGCTCCTACCCTGTTGTGCCAAATGTTATATTGGTGTTGACAGATCAAAACAAAGCAATGCCAGACCAAACCAGAAAGATTCCCACCCTAAGAACATCAGCATCAATAATAGTAAAAGCAACCATCTCAACAAAAAGTGTGCACACACACGAATACTAGGATGTGTGAGAGCAAATGAATTAGAAGAGGGAAAAATGGGAAAAAAAAAAAAAAGGTAAGGAATTCAAGGCAACACCAGACCAAACCAAGAAGAATAGGGGTGGGGGAGTGGGGCATGGATATCAACACACACATGATAAAATCACCAGCCTCAACAAAAAGATTAAAAGACAAACAAACTGAAAACACACATACGCCCCCCTGACACACACACACACACACAATAATACTAGAAGGCGTGAGACCAAAAGAATTAGAAGGGGGAGAAAAAAATATATGTATATGAAAGTAAAAAAGTCAGGGCAAAAACCAGACCAAACTATAAAAAGCACCTGAAAAAATTGTCAGCATCAGCAATGATAAAAACCCAGCCTCAACAAAAAGATGAAAAGACAGACACACACACACAGACCACTAAAAGTAGTGAGATCCAAAGAGTTAGGAGAGTGAGGGGGAAAAAAAAGAGGAAAGCAGAGAAGGCAGATGCCAGAAATAGGGTAAGTATAAAAAACGTAATAATAATAAGAGGTACAAAATAATGACTGGAATAATAATAATAATTTTAGAAAGTAATAATGCTAAATTGAATAAGATAGAATATGAAAGTAAAAAATGGGGCAAGCGGTTAGAGCGTCAGCCCGCGGTCCAGAGAGACCTGAGTTCAGTTTCCGCTAAGGACATGTACCTCTGTTGCAGTTTGCCCCGGCCCTGGTTGGGGTCGTGCGGGAGGTGGCCACTCGATGTGTCCCTTTCATGTTGATGTTTCTCTCTCTCCTTCCTACTCTATCTGAACAAAAAATGGAAAATGTCCACTGATGAGGATTAAAAAAAAAAAATTGAAACTGCAAAGCATACGCCAAAACAAGCACAACAAAAAATGTTGGATCGCTATTTATGGAGCTCACTGGATTTTGCTCTAGTGTTGTTGGATTTGGCCCCTTGGGTAGGGTCCCTATCCTCTTCAGCAGTTCTCTGGTGCTAGCCAATGTGAATTGCTGCCCTGGCCTGGCCCAGCCCTGGGCCTCCTGGCTGAAGCCCTGAGGGTTGGGATCCCAGGTAGTCCAGTGGGCAATGCTTCCCTAGCCCAGAGGCTGGGTCGCCTTCAGGGCTCACCACTTGGCTGTATTCGTTCTGGGCTGCTTTCCCTTCCCCCATGGCGCTGGGCCCTGGGGTATCAGGACCAGTCAGGGTGGTTTAAACAGATTTGTGTTGGGGGTGGTGCCTGTAGCTTCTAGGAGGGGCAGGCAGGCTCTTCCTCTTCTTTCATTGGCTCAGCTCTGCCTGGTTGGCCCCCCAAGCAGGGGAGAATATTTTTTTAAAAAGGGGAAAAAATACAAACAAACAATGCCCTGCTTGGCTCTTTATTCTCTCAGCATGGCTGGCTCTCGCTGGACCAGCCGCTGTTCAGGCTCCCACCCGGCCAGCTGTCTGAATCCCCAGCTCTGCCAGGCCCTGCCAACTGGGGTGCCAATTCCCAGCCCAGCATTGTTTTGTGGGTGGTGAAGGGACGCCTCCTCTTTGCTCAAGGTGGAGAGGAATGTGTCTCTTTCCCCAGGCACTTTGGCCTCCATCAGAGTTCTTTGAACAATTAATTACCTGGCCCCTCAGATTCACTGCTTTCTTTTCATGCAGACCCTTTCTCAGGTGTGCCATTCTGCTTTGTGGGCTTTCTGGCTCCCACAGTCAGGGGAGTTTTCCAGGCTGGTGGTGTAACCACACACTGGCTTTTAGCTTGGGATAGTGCTGAGTCCCCTGGTAGGCCAAATCACCTCTAGTTCCCACTGTCTGATGCGACATGGGCTCCCCGTCTCTCCTCTGTGGCTCTTGTTTGGGGATCTCTGTGTGAGACTGATTCCCCAGTCCCAGCGGCAGGAGCTACACCTCCCCGCCTTCCCAGGCACACTGCAGCTGCACGCGTTCACTCACCCACTTCTCGGCTTCTCCTGTCCCCTCTCCAAACTCCCTGCTTGCAGTATTTCCAGTCAACTACTTTCAGGTGGTTTTTCAAGTTGAATGTTCTGCAGTTTAGCCTAAAGTTCAGTCCTGGGCTTGGAGCAAGCAGACAGAACTCTCTTAGGCTTCAGCCATCTTGTCTCACCTTAGTTTTGAGGCAAACTGTAATTTCAGGAGGATACTGTTGAAAGGGAAGTAAATGGGGATGAGCAAAACTGGGATTGGAGCACTAAGCCAGCAATGCCCATGCCCCGCCCCACCCCGCCCCGCCCCGTTAGATGATGGTATCTACAGAGTCACTGAAAACTTGGGACTGTTTTAACAAAACTGAAAAAGTACTCAGAAAGAATACAATACAAAATATTGTACTCAAGTCACAATGTATTTGCTAACAGTAAGTTACTGATAATTTTACATTTCTCTCATTTAAAAAAAAATTTAAATGGTTATACTACTATGGCAATGGCCAAAGCTGGTCCAAATCACCAAAATTTTAAAAATGTTTAAAAGGTCTTTATTTTTATTTATATTTTAATTAGTTTTTAGAGAGGAAGGGAAAGGGAGAGATAGATAGAAATATCAATGAGAGAGAAACATTGATTTGCTGCCTCCTGCACACCCGCTACTGGGGATTAAGCCTGCAACTCTGGCGTGTGCCCTGACCAGGAATGGAACCAGTGACCTCTTGGTTCACAGGTTGACACTCAACCACTGAGCCATACTGGCTGGGCCCCAGTCATCTATTTTACGTTCTAAATGATAACCTATTATTTTGCTTTACCACTAATATTTTGTGCATATATTCTCTTGGGGATTTTATTAGTAGTAGTTGTGACAGTCCAAGATTTTAAGTATTTTTGTGTCCTGGGCAGTTTTTTTTTTTTTTAATTCTCACCCTAGGGCATTTTCTAAAATTGATTTTAGAGAGAGGAAGGGGCGGGCTGGCAGGCGGGCAGGGGGGTGGGGGTGAGGCATTGATCAGTTGCCTCCCATATGCACCTGGCCAGGATCAAACCTGCAACCTAGGCTCCTAGGCCTGTGCCCTGATGGAGAATTGAACCTGTGACCTTTGGTGAACACAATGACAATCCAACCAACTAAACCACTCTGGCCAGGGCTTCTGGGCAAATTTACTATATTATTAAACAAAGTCATTCATCCATAGTATAAATATCCATCAGAATAAGTTTTTTGTTAACAAGATCATTTTCTCAACACATTATTCTCATATTTTAGAAAAGGCGGCGTCGGATTGACCGAAGTATGATCGGAGAGCCAACAAACTTTGTACACACAGCTCATGTAGGATCAGGAGACCTGTTCAGTGGAATGAATTCAGTAAGTATGTTGGAGGAACATGCTTTGGGGCACAGGTGTATATGTTTTAATGTTACACTATGTTTAGATGCCTTTGTAGACCTTGACTATAAATACATGATATAAGTATAGAAGAGAATAAAGTGACCAATGAAAAATTAACCTCTTATCTAATTTGCCATTTTATGTACTTTTTTCTGTTTCCAGGACTTAACTCTTCATAGCTGCCTTTTTCCTGAATACATACTTTAAACTTTAAAGGATTTGACAGTAAGCTGGGAAGAACCAGAAGTAAAAAAAAGAGATCTATTTGCTGTCTTTTATAAAAATTTAAGTGAATTTCAGAATAGACTTTAGATTTAATCAGCTGAACTTTTATTCTTTAATTTTATCTAGAAGAAAAATAGACTGCAGGATAATAGAAGCACCACCAAATGAGGATTTTTAAATCAGGGCTCTGCCTCACTTTTGCCCTGAAACAAGCCACTGCTGAGAGCCTGTTTTCCCAGTATCTGCAGTAAACAGATGTCTACATGATCCCTGAAGTATTTAGACCTGGAAAGTCAGTAGGCTTTTATAAACACAAAATTATGATTCATTGTATATACTCAATGGACAGTGTTAACAAAAGACTTAACGAGAACAGACTTTTAAAATAGGTAGTTGAGTATCCTAGATACAGCAAACAAGTCTTTCAGTTCAGTTACTAGGTGAGCAAAGGAATGACATTTGTATCTTTTGTGAAAGGAAACAGCTTGTTTGTTTTAAATCAGTAGGAAGAGCACTGTTTCACTCAGCTGCTTTTTGTCAGTGGAAGAAGTATCAGGCTGCTGTCCAAGTGTAGTGCAGGAGCTTGATTCTCGGATCAGTGGTGTGAAAAGACTAAATGGGAACCTCTGCCTTGTTAATATGGTTATTATAATACATAGAAATAGAATGCATGGCCCTGGCCAGTTTGGCTCAGCGGTAGAGTGTCAGCCTGCGGTCCAGTGACCCGGGTTCACTTCTCGCTGAGGGCATGTACCTTGGTTGCAGTTTGTCCCCGGCCCTGGTTGGGGTCTTGTGGGAGGCAGCCACTCGATGTGTACCTTTTACGATGTTTCTCTCTGTCTCTCCCTCCCGCTCTATCTGAACAAAAATTGAAAAATATCTTCGGGTGAGGATAAAAAAAAAAAAATAGAACGCATGGTTTCAAAATTATTATATGGGATGAATTTAATATCTTTCTTAACAGATGTCTTCCCCACTTCAGGTTTTTATAGACTAACTACATAGGACAAATTAAATGTTTTTTTTAATCCTCACCTGAGAATATTTTTCTATTTATCATCAGATAGAGTGGGAGGGAGGGAGGGAGAGAGAAACATTGATGTGAGAGAGACACATAGACTGGTTGCCTCCCTCACAACCCAACCAGGGCCTGGGATACAACTGAGGTACGTGCCCATGTCTGGAATCGAACCCATGACTCATTGGTCTGCGGGCCAGTGCTCTAACCGCTGAGCCAAACTGGCCAGGGCCCAGGGTATTTACTTTTAAAATCTTGTTTATATGCAGTTCAGAATTTCCTTTAAAATTCCCATCTGGCATTTCATCTCCACGAAGAGCCTGTGGTTGTGCACAGCTCTGTTGCTTGCTGTCAGTGCAGGCAGAGCCTTTGCGCCTTCCTCTTCAGCTGCGGCCAAGGGTCAGTGGGCCCTCTGGGAGGTTCCACCCTGAAGTCTCTGGGCAGCCTTTTCTGCTAACTGAAGCGAAATTTTTATTCAGTATTTTAGCTTTTTAGAACTAAATAAGCCTTTCATAGTCATTGCTTATATTAACTTGTTGCCATGTCTAAAGCCATATGCAGCCCCACCAAGTTCTTGCTGTAGGCTGGGTATTGTGAAATGTTTCCTGAACTATTGATAGTTCTAACTTGTAGAAGCCTGATTTCATGAGAAAATTCTGTTCGCCTGTGCAATAATAGTGCAAATAAGACAAAACCACAAATAGACATGTTACTTATCCAAGGAAATATTTTCTCTTAAGTTTGTCCATCTGAAGACCTGAGCAGCTAGAATTAGAACTATGGCCTTGATACTTGTGAAACAGCCACACTGGGTTATTGGATGGTCAAGTGACCCCCCCCCCCCCCAAATACACTGTTCTTCACAAGACTACCTTTCATACTAACTTCTTACCAGAAAAGTTTTCTGTGACCCTTTTTATAATGTAGCCCTGTTGTGTTAAAATACTGTATGTCCTTAGTCATCCTAATATAATCAATCCACAACCTTTAGTTTGAAATTGAAGGTTTCACTTTTGGAGGAAAAAGAATCTACATGTAAAATGTGAAAATATAAAGATTGTTTTGCCCTGGCTTGTTTTGCTCAGTGGTTAGAGCAATGACCTGTGGACTGAGGGTCACAGGTTTGATTCCGATCAAGGGCACCTACCTGGGTTGCACGTTGGATCCCCAGCCCTGGTCGGTGTCGTGTGGGAAGCAACCAACCCATGTCTCTTTCTCACATTGATGTTTTCTCTTTCTCTCTCACTCTCCCTCTTGCACTTGATATCTAAGAAAAATCAGTGGAAGAATATCTGTGGGTGAGGATTAATGGAGGAGATATATATGATTGTTTTAAATAGGTCTAAAATAAGGTAACTTGTAGAAGGTGATGACTCTTCACTATTAGGCCATCACCTCCTTATTGCTTCGTTTTCCCTCAATCTAGCCTGATTCTCTTCTTCTCTGCTTCTAAACTGCCTCTAATTGATGTAAGATTGGAATAATGACACACTAAGAGCACATTGCAATTTGCAAATAACATTGTGCCTTTGTTTCAGCAAAGAAAGAGAATATTCCAGTCTTAATATATCTTACAATCTATCAGAGAATAGCCCAGTATTGTAGTTAGGAGAGATGATCATGTTAAGCATTTTACCAGTACAAGCCTGATATTCAGAGGATAACTAGTTCACTAGAGTTACAATAGGAATAAATAAATCTGGAGTAGAGTCCAAGTCTTTGCATTCTTAGACTCCTTTTAGTTTATCAGACTATATTAAGACTATCAAGTATGTACATTTTATCACATGGACTTTCAAAATGTATCTTTGGTCCAATTTTATTTATACTTATTTTTGTTTCTGATTCTGTTGTAATTAAGATGATCATATATAAAAGATGTATATAAAGTAAGATATTTGAGGTTGAACTGAAAGTTTTTAATTTTTTTTTCCTTTATTGATTTTAGAGAGAAAGGAAGGGAAAGAGGGAGAGAGAGAGAAACATCGATGAGAGAGAACATTGATTGGCCACCTCCTGCATACCCCCCACTGGGGATCAGGCCCACAACCTGAGCATGTGCCCTGGCTGAGAACCAGCGACCTCTTGGTGCTTGGGTCAATGCTCAGCCACTGGGCAAAAGTTTTTAATTTTTATTTTGGAGAGGAAGGGGGGGCGGAGAGAGAAAGAGAAAGAAATACCAATGTGAGAGGGAAACATCGCTTGGTTGGTTCCCATACACACCCCAACTGGGGGTCGAACCCACAACCTGGGGTATGTGCTCAACCAACTGAGGCACACCAGCCAGGGCTGATTTGTATACTTTTGACTTCTTTTGAAATGTTACCAAGTGCTTTGTGAATTATAAAAATGATTTTTTTTGTATTTGGGAAGTGGAGAAGATGGGGGTAGAGGGATTTGTGACAAAAAAAAATATTTTAATTATTAGCCTCACTATCAGAAAAATTTTTAAGTCTTTAAAATTTTTATTTTAGTCTAAAATTTATGTCATTAAAAATCTATTATAGATTTTTTTCTATAAAAAATTACCCTTCTGAAAAATGTAGTCAGAACGTTGAGACTAGAATCACATAGTTGCATTGGCCTTAGCTCCTGACTTCTGTCCTGTTTTTGGCTTGTTTTAGGTTAGCTCCATTCAGAACCAAATGCAGTCCAAGGGCGGCTATGGGGGCGGAATGTCTGCCAGCGTGCAGATGCAGCTCGTGGACACGAAGGCAGGATAGCCCTGTCCCTTCTCCAGTGAGTACCCCAGGCTCAGACATGGCTGAAAATTAGCCGACAACATAGCTTTAATTACGTCTTCGGGTTAAGAGATACACACGGTTGACCCTTGAACAACATGGGTTTGGACTGTGCAGGTCCACTTGTATGTGGATTTTTTTCAGTAAATACTGTAAATGTATTTTCTCTACCTTATGACTTAACATTTTCTTTTCTCTGGCTAACTAAGTTGTAAGAATACAGTATATAATAATACATATACAAAATGTGTGTCAGTCAATTTGTAAGGCTTCTTTCTGGTCAACAGTAGGCTATTAGTATTTAAGTTTTGGTGGAAGTAAAAGCTATACACAGATTTTCAACTGTGCAGGGGCTGCAGGGGGTTGGGAGTCAGTGTCCCAAACCCCATGTTCACGGGTCAACTGTATTTTGTTCTCTCTTTTTTAAAAAACTGAACAAAAGGCAAAAATATTTTACTTGCCTAAATGTTAAGTGATGGTCTTGGGCATTACTGCAATTTGAATATTAGTTTTAGGTTGTTCTTTTCCTTATGAAGAAGTTTAAATGCACTAAGACACCTGGTTGGGGAGGCTCTGCCTGAGATTCTGGTGACAAGATGAAGCGTATGTGTCTTTTAAACAAGAGTGAAATTATTATTTTGAGTATTGATACTACACAGAATCCCATGTGTAGTGAAGTACAGTGATACCTCGGTTCTCGAACGCCTCGGATTTCGACCAAATCAGTATTCGACCAGGAGATTCGAGAAACTTTTGTCTCGGAATCCGAACAAATATTTGGAACTCGAACTTCCGAGATGAGCCGAGTTGAGCCGAATGGCGTTCATTCGGCCCAGCGCGCCTTGCTTGCGCCATCAGTGTGAGTGCAGAGAGAGTCACGCTTTGTGGAGAGAGTCACGCTTTACACTGAATTTAACCCTTAGACATACTGTACACTTTTATTTCTTGTTGAGACTTATGTTTTTCTACATATTATATACAAATTAGGCCAGTAAATAGGCATTTTCTGGGGCTTGGAACGAATTAATCCAGTTTCCATTATTTCCTATTGGTTTCATTGCTTCGGTTCTCGAACAATTTGGTTCTCGACCGTCCTCCTGGAACGAATTATGTTCGAGAACCGAGGTATCACTGTAATTTTATAGTTAACACTGTGGTATTGGTAAATGTTTCATTATCAACTTCTAAAAAGGATGAACCCCTAAAGTGTAAAAATAATTTGGATTTTTCTTTTGGTTTTATAGGTCATTGTGAATTTCTGTTTCTCTTTCTACTGTTCCTTAATTCTTATTTTTTGATTTTCTTTTCAATTACAAAAAGGAGTGTGATGGTGTCTTGTCCATCCTGTTGTGATCCTCCAGTGAGACGTTCCTGTTCCGCGAAGAAGCTGTGGCCAGATGAACCCCGCGTTTCCTCAGCTGGCACGCATGCCTTTGGGCTCCTGGACAGTCTTAGATTGTGGCTTAAACTTTAATTTCTATCAACATGGATCTGACCTTAGCATGATCTTTCTTGTGAATGCTAGCACTATTTTGCATTTTTTTCCATTTTAAACATTTCTTTCCACCTGCCTTATGATTTTATTGATAAGCAAGGACCTGCTATTATTTGTTAATTTGTCACCGTTTATGTATATTTTGGAAGGTATGAATGAGACCCACAAGCACAATGATCGTGTTCATTCATTTGAAACTTCAGCAGAATAGGTATCTGCATGCTCTATGAAGTTGCTGGTGTGGGAGCCCATGGGCTGGTGAGACTGCTGCTATTAGAAAGGGTAGCTGTGGTGCCAAGTCACACCCATGTCACACCGAAAGGTAACTTGTAGCTTATTTAGAAATATGACTTTCTGGTCTCTTTAGTTAGAATTATAGTAAAAGGAAAGTGTGCATCTGTAAGGCCTTCATCCTGTTGTAAATGTTCACCGTATTTATTTTGAGAGTGAGGACCTGTGCGTGTAAGCAGGGCTGCTGTGTCTCTGTTGTGTTGACACCCTCATACCGTCCGATTCTGAGCAGCAGCAGCGTGGGAGCTGTTCATGTCTGTGCACCTGTTCTGTTGTGACTGTTTTGATTTTATGTTTGATGTCATGGTTTCCAGTAGCAGTTTGCTGGACTTCTGACCTGTTCAGCTAACTGCGGACCCCAAGGTCAGGGGCCATACTCTGCATAGTTGGGGCAGCGGAAGCTGCCAAGAGCATCACACTGACCTGGCTGAATTGTTGCCACTGGAAACAGCCTATCTGGTGACTTTATGGAATTGATGAGAAACCTTTGCTTCAGTTCCAGAATATCTTTATTCTTCCACAGACTGTATTTCAAATATATCTGTAAATGTTTCTCCTTCCCCATAAGGGTGTAGCATTCCTCCAGTTAGTAGTTTGCATCTTTAAAATGTAAATCCTGTGTCCAATTCAACTCTTACTACATGTGGTCAGATAAACATTTCATGCAGCAAATTGGGGCTTCACTGGAAACTTGGAGAGCGCTGAGGAGTTAGGTAATTGAAAGTGATCGTTTTTTTTTTTAATCCATTTCCTTCACCTTGGTCCCAAGTCCTTGTGAAAAGGTAACTGAACAAGTACTAGGTCTGTGCAGGCAAACAGGGAAGCATCTCTCCCGAGTTCTTCGGAATTCAGCTCACACAGTGCAGGGGCCAGGTCCCACAGTCCTTGTCTTTCTGCCGTTTTGAGCCTTCATAGGTGTCAGTCTCCAACAGAGAGGAAATCAGCCAAGGAAAAACATTTATGCTTAGTAATAAAAATAGGCATTTTGCAGTTTATTGAATAACTTCTAAACTTTTTCCCGTCTAGTGTCAACTCACTGTGTGGATGTCACATTCTGGAACTGACCAGGGCCTGTGTGTCCTGCCAGGGACCCTGTGCCAGCTCTGTCGGGGGCGGGTCTCCCGGCACTGCCAGCACCAATTAGTACAATTAGCCCTGGCCAGTCTGGCTCAGTGGTTAGTGTTGGCCTGTGGACCAAAGAGTCGCGGGTTCGATTCCAGTCGAGGGCATGTGCCTCAGTTGTGGTCCAATCCCTGGCCCTGGTCGGGGTCGTGCAGGAGGCAACTAGTCGATGTGTGTGTCTCTCTCTTCCTCCCTCCCACTGTATCTGAAAATCAATGGAAAAATATTCTCAGGTGAGGATTAAAAAAAAATTAGTACAAGTTTTATACTTGTCATAAAACTCCTGGAGCAACAGTATAGGGAGCCATGGTCCCTTTCCCCTGACTCATGATTTGATTTTCCAGTTGCTATCTTTTCTGCTTCTCCCAGGACCAAAACTCTGCGCGCCCGGGAGCATGTCTCCACAGCAAGACTTCATAGGCACATTGGCCACACTGTGTACAAGGACAAGCTAAGAAAGGTGCCAATAAAATCAAGAAGAACGTTACCAAAAAGTCTAAGATACGAACCTTGAACACAGATCTTTTAGGAAGGCTGGAAGATGTTTGAGAGTGTGGAGGAGGCAGCTTCCCCCACATTCTTATGTGGGTTGTAAATCTTGGAGGTCCTTTGGTCCCCACAACAATGTATCAAGTTTTAAAATCAAAGCTAATTAAGTAAATAGGATAGAATGTTAAAATACCTGCTAATAACTGTTAAGCAAGGGAAACTGAATGAAGGTTTACGTCTGGACATGGATTGTTATCAAACAGGTGCTTTCCCGTGGTCCAGGCATGAAGCGACGCCAGTGAGCCGGAGTGGGGATGCGGACCCTGGTGCTCGGGCTCAGCATTCCCGGTGCAGCAGTATCAGTGGGCCTTGAAAGATGCTTTGAAGAGTATGTTAGCTTCATTCTGTTATTAAATTATAGCAGTTTCATTATAGAGTGCAAGTTTGCCTTGATTTTGTTTAAAATGACTTAAGCTCAGTACCCAAAAGATAAAATTGACATATTTTTATAATATAAGCATACTTTTTTTTTGTACATTGTGTTCATTCTTGAATGAATTGAGTTCATTGTTGGCTTATAGATATTAAAAAGAAAGTATTGATTCAATAAATGTTTTCTTTCGAACCTGATTTGGTTTTTCCTTTCTTTCACTTCAGTTTTTTTTCTTTCAAGGGATTATTTACCAGAATTTACTTATATTTTCAGTTAAGACTATTGTCATGCAGAAATAATTTATCACTTTCTCTTTAACTTTATAATTTAACAAATGCCTAGTCAAAATGAACCTTAAATGTCTGGAAATAGGACTTGTTATTTAAATAGACCTTTGCTCCAAATTTTCATTGCCTAGCAACATCACAAATGTTTTTTTTTTTTATATAATGGAGTCAGATACCTGATCGGTTTCCTATGCTGAAGCATTTTGTTCTCACAGGATACATAGGATTTAAAAAAGTTAACACATTGTTGACCGCTCACAAGTTAATTCGTGTTTGAACTTGCATTAGCTATTTCAATTTCTGAAACTCAGGGTAATATAGGATTATTGTGTTTGTGACTCTTCGCCCTGAGGGTCAAAGTTTGAAAAACAGCACACTGTTCTACATTCTTGAAGTAGCCGGGGAATGGCCGTCTGCTGGTTCAAATGAGTGCAGCTCAGCCTAGCACTTCTGGTCCTTCTAAAAGAGCTCCTTACATTGATTCACCTTTTAGGCTCTTGGGGCAACTAAAAGACCACGTTTTACAAAAAATAGTCACTGGTATTTAAAAAAAAAATCCAACTACAGTCGGCCCTCGTTTATCGCGGTTAATCAGTTCCAGACTCTTCCACAATACATGAATTTACGTGAAGTAGAATTCTTTATTTATATACGGTCGTCCCTTGCTGCTTCGACGTTCGTGGCTTCACTCTATCACGGGTTTTTCAAATACTAAAAATATGTGTATAAAATATAATATGTAGCAGATATGTACAAAGTTTCATTTAAATTCATTATGTATAAAAAAGTATACTGAAGTTTATTTACATTGTTTCACTTTCACACGCAATTATGAAAAAATAGTTGGTGATGTGAGATAACTTCTGCATAAAATTACTGGTCAACAATGTGTTAAATAAGTTAAGAATTCCATTTCATAGTCATACTGCCACATTTCAAGTGCTCAATAGCTTCATGTAGCTGTCAGCTACCATATTAGACAGTTATGGAACATGTCCATCATCACAGAAAGTTTGGGCAGGTTTGAGTTTGATCTTAAAGTAGTTTAGGGCAGTCCTGGCCGGTTTGGCTCAGCGGTTGGAGCGCCGGCCTGCGGACCAGAGAGTCCCCGCTAGGCCCTAGCAGCTAGGGGCACGTACCAAAAAAAATAAAATAATTTAGGACAGTGGTTCCCCATCGGGGCAGTTTTGTCCCCGGGGAACATGTGGCAGAGCCTGGAGATATTTTTGGTTGTCACAACGTGAGGAAAGGATGCTGACACCTGGTGGAGGTAGAAACCAGGAAGGTTGCTCAGTACCTGTGGTGCACAGGACGACCCCATAGCAAAGGGTTGTCGAGCCCCCAGTGCCCTAGTGGCCGCAGCTGAGAAACCAGGGGTCTGTGGCCTCACTAAATGCATCCTCGTAGACTGGTCACAGAGAGACCAGGTCCAGTAGGTTTGACAGAATTGCCACACAATATTCTAAAATAGAAAAACTGATGAGAAAAAATTCTAGAAAAGAGTATTTCAAGAAGTTTTGATAATTTTTGTCCTTACCTCTTGGCCAAAGACTCAAAGGAAATTGGGTTAAGATGGTGTTCCTTGTGAGACAGAACACTGACCATCCAGGGAGACATCCCAGTTAAGAGGGAAAGAAAGTGCCTGAAGAAACCCAGGTCTGTCTGTCAGGAGCTCTGTCTGGGCACATGTCCATGGACACACACACACAGTGGAAGGAAGCGCTCATCAGAAAGGCACAAACAGGACACCAATCTAGAAAAACAATGTCATCATCTGGAATTGGCTAAAATTTGTAAAAAGGCCCAAACCTATAAAATTGGTATAGACAAGAAGGAAATTAGTATCCCTTGTTAAAATAGGCTTTTGGCAGACTGGAAAGAAAACAATTGAAATTTTACCTTCAATTTATTGTCTCTATCCAGAATGGATGACTCATGTTAATCTGACTTTTTATATGTTGGCACCTCAACTTCTAGTTTTCATGGTGTTTCCGAGACTGCAGTTTTGTTTTCTAAGTTACTTCCTGAATACGAACATCCAAATGTTTGACCTGGCACCTCACAGCCATTGCTGACTGGTGACTCACTGGAGAAAGGGTGATTTCAGTCTCTGGAAGGTAAGGGCAGGGCAGTCAGGGTGACATCTGATTATAACCCCGATCTTCTCGTCACCCCAGGCTGCCGAGTTCCCTGGAGCGTGTACAGCTCATTCAGTCTCTTGTTCAGTGTCCCTCAGACATACAGGTGCGCTGACAGCTGCCCTGGGACCCAGAAAGGATTCCCAGGCACAGGTTTTTATTTTTGTTCCTTGAAAGTGGCAAATGAGATGCTCATTTAAAATCTTCAGAGCTTCACCCTGTTCTTAAGGTCATTGATTTTATCCATCTAAACACACTCAACCTTTGTATGGACGTGGCCTTTTAAGTGTTTGGACTAGATCTTTTGCCTCAGACCTGGTTCCGGGCTGTGAGCTCCCCAAAGGCCTGTCTGCTGACGTGTGTGGAGCACTTCATCTGTTGGGTGCAGCACGCTCAGGCAGTGCTGGGAGAACAATGTAGTTGCTATTTCTGGGTTTCTTTAACAATCAACATTTCAGCCTTGGTCAGCTTGGCTCAGCAGTCAGAGCGTTGGCTGGAGGACCAGAGAGTCGTGGGTTTGATTCTGGTCAAGGGCACGCACCTCGGTTGCAGTTCGGTTCCCGGCCCTGGTCGGGGTTGTGCAGGAGGCAACCAGTGGATGTCTCTCTCACACATCCATGTCTCTCTCTTTCTCCCCCTCCCACTCTGTCTGAAGGTGAATGGAAAAATACCCTTGGGTGAGGATTTAAAAAATTAAATAAAATAAAGATGAGGTAAAAAATCACTGGAGTGCTTTTTGGCACAGCCACCTGGACTCAGAATTCCAAATGGAGTGATTTTTGTGTTGAACTTCTTTCCGGTTTCCTGTAATATCAGTTTTGTCCCATAAAATTTTTGTTAAAAGTGTCTATAGGTTTTTGCTTTAATTTTTGCTGCTTGGAAAGTGTTTTAGTCTATTTGGGCTGTTATAACAAAATACCCCAGACTGGGTAGCTTATAACGGGAAAAATTATTTCTTACGGTTTTGGGAGGCTGAAGATCAAAATCAGGGTGCCAGCATGATCAGGTAAGGACAGTCCTCGAATCTTCTCAATGGTGGGAGGAACTAGGGATGTTTCTGGAGCCTCTTTTTTAAGGCACTAGTCTGGTCAGTTACACCCTCATGACTGAAGTACTTCCTCATACCATTACCTTTGGGAATTAGGATTTCGACATGAGTTCTTGGGGGACAGAAACGTTGAGACCACAGCATAAAGGTGTAGGAAGTGAGAGGGTCGTCGTTTGTAGGTGTGGCCACATCTGGCTTGTGTGCAGTGGAGCCCAGGCCCCAGAGCACCTGGTCCACAGGCCAGGAGCCAGCGTCCCCCCTCAATCCCTCGTCCCCGTCTGACATTCCCGAAGGAAACCGACATGAGTCGTGTGAGGGATGAAAAGGTAAAGGAAGTGGAGGATTCTCGTGGTCCAACCTGTGCTCAATAGGAATTTGCTTAAATGTATGAAATAGTTTCTTTTACAAAAAGAAAGCAAGGAGAATACCCTGAAAAAAAAAATAACACAAGTATGCCCTGGCTGGTTTGGCTTAGCGGTTGGAGTGTCAGCCTGCAGACCAGAGTCCTGGGTTCGGTTGCCGCTAGGGGCACATCCCCAAAATAATAACACAAAGTAATGATCTCTGTTGTGTTCTGAAATTTTAAAAAATTTACATTTATACTTTCACACATTTTACTCAGAAGGCCCTTATATTCAGCTCTGGGAAATGACATTAGTTCTGAGGATTACCTGATTTTTCAGCAGCAGTGAGGTCTAGAATATAATAGAGCACCCCCTCGA